TATATATATATATATATATATATATATATATATAACTAAATAATATAAATTTGTTTTAAGCAAATGAATAAATAAATAATATAGTAATAAATAAAACAGTATAGTACTATAGTGTGCTGAAGAAAATAATGTAACAACAGAAACAAAATATTTTTTAAACATTTATAATATTCATTTTGAGTCTTCATACATAAAATAATATATAGCTGCTTTTTACATTTTAGGATGGGGGTCCTTCGCATGAGGATGATCATATTTGGGGGTGTGTGGCATTCAAAAGATTAAAAAATAAATAAAAGAAAAAATTTAGACCATAACTAGAAGAAAATGATGTTGAATATTTAAGAAATAACTTTTTTCCCTTCCAAAACAGTAGCGATGAATGACAGCTTCAGTCATTATTCACTTTCATTCCCTAACATCTCCTTTTGTGTTCACTTTCACATAAGAATTCAAAAGTCTTTTTGGACTCTGGAACAACTTGAAGGTGACTAAATGATGACAGCATTGGATAGATCACACAAATAATACGTTTTCAATAATCCCACAGAAAAATGTGTTCACTCACTTCGATGTGTTTCTGCAGCTGTGATGCATTTAAAGCGCTTCTGTTATTTCTGTACTGACGAATGGCCAGCAGAAGAGACTTCAAACAGGTCGATACATCCATCTTTACACCCAAGGTCGGTCAATGGCGGTCTTGAACAAAAAGAATCAAATAACTGAAGGGGGAAACTATCTAACTTAAACTGTTTCTCGGTAGGTTTTGTAAACATACAGTAGGCTTTGCTAGTTGATAATAGACGCTGTTACTGAGATTAAATAACAGATATATTGTATCCTCTCCCGTACGACGTTTTCATCAAACATGGAGGTGACTTCTATTTTAACAATGACATTTATCAGTATTTTATTTTACGTAGTATTTACTCAAAAGCTTGTAATAAGTTCCCCACTGTCTGCTACAACAGCAACTTCCTCCCGCTAACACTTCGAATCGCCGGAAGTGTTCAGTATCCAAAATGGGAGGAGGGTAATGGAAACATTTACAAATATGTCTAAATATTTACGTTTCAAACATAGGGTAGAGCATTTTTACGAAGCAACATAACGTTTAAATATTGAATCAGTGGGTGTTTTGCTCTTTTATGTTAATCTCTTTTTTTATTACTTCTTGGGAAAGCTTAAACCCCCC